CAGCATACAGAGCCTGCCTTTTCTTAGCTGCATATAAATTTTTCTGTGCTATCTCAGTAGAATTCCTTATGGCTTGTCTAACCTCACGAGCATACTCTGAATGACTCCGGGGATTTTGCAAAGGCACTCCTAAATCCACCTCTATGGGCATCCTTGGTTCTCGTCCGAAAACTAATTCATAGGGGGAATACCCGGTTGTTTCATGCCGGCTGGTATTATACGCATAAACAGCCTGATCAACATACAAGTCCCAATTTTCAGGATGCTCACTCACGAAAGAAGACAAAATTTCCTGCAATGTCCTATTTTGCCTTTCCACTTGCCCATCCCCTTGTGGATGATATGCAGTCGTACGGGATTTCTTTATTCCCATAATTTGACAAATTTCGTGCATTAAGTTGCTCTCGAAATTTTGTCCCTGATCAGAATGCAATATGTCGGGGGGACCGAAACGAGAAAACAACTTTGAGACTAAAAGCCTAGCTACCGTTTGTGCTTTTTGATCTTTAGTTGCAAATGCTTCGCACCATTTAGTAAAATGATCTCCGACAACCAACAAATGTTTATTACCCCTTGATGTCTCTGGAAGTGGGCCCATATAATCAATAGCCCAAAATACGAAGGGTTCACCTACCAAAATGGGCGTAAGTGGAGCTTTCCCTTGGTTAGGTAACAGTTTACTTTGCATACATTCTGAACAAGATGTGATATAGTTTTTCACGCACTCTTGCATTTTTGGCCAAAAGAAGCGTTGCTTAACACGATATAAAGTACGTGTAATTCCCATATGACCCCCAGACGGCCCGGAATGAAGGCTATGTAAAATTTGGCCTACGACAGATTGTGGAACGACAAACACACGTCGGGGCACTTTTTGACCTGTCGAAATAGCTCTAACAAGCAAGCCGTCTGAGAGAAATAACTCATCCCAACAATACCACAAAGTGCGCAAAATTTCGTTTTTCTTCCATACAAAAAGAGGGGGTTTAGGTAGCCGTTGTTCCTTAAGAGCTACAACTATAGCAATGTCCGGGACATTTAACTGAGCTTGGTGCAAATTCAACTCAGGTGTCAACTTGACAAAACAAGTAGTATACTTGTCAGACATTTCTTCCACGCTATGCTTATCTTCTGTATCAACTAGCCGAGACAGCGCATCAGCATTAGCATTTTCCCTCCCAGGCCTATGGGATATTTCAAATTCAAACTCCTGTAAACCCATTATCCAGCGTGCTATCCTACCTTTAGGCTCAATTTTATGTAGCCAGGTTAGAGCATTATTATCGGTAACAAGTTTAAATTTCTGGCCAAGTAAATACACCCGAAAGTGTTGAGTAGCAAAAACAACAGCTAAGGCTTCCTTCTCCAAAACCGAATAATTTCTTTCCCTCTCAGTCAAAGCACGACTAGCGTAAGAAATAACACGCTCATCTCCAGAACTATCTTTCTGGGTTAATACAGCTCCCAACCCGACGTTTGAAGCATCTGTCTGTAAAATAAATGGTGCATCTAACTGAGGGTAAACAAGTATTGGGGCATTACACAACTGCCATTTTAATAAGTCAAAAGATCGCTGATGAGCCGTTAACCACTGAAATTTGCAACCCTTTTTGGTTAAACTCGTCAATGGGGCCGCAATAGTTGCAAAATTGGGAATAAATTTTCTGTAATACCCAGCCAATCCAAGAAAGGATCTCACTTGTTCCACATTATTTGGGGGGCACATTTTTTGAACTGCTTCAATTTTGCTCGGCTCAGTATGAATTCCCTCCACAGAAACAGTATGACCTAGATAAACAACCTTATCTGCACCAAAAAGACATTTAGAAGCTTTAACTCTTAAGTTTGCCTTTTGTAGTCTCTCTAAAACCAATTCTAAACGCTCGCAGTGTTGATTTATATCTATTGACGGAATAATTATATCGTCAAAATAACACAGACAACTTTCGTAATTTAACCCTGACATTATAATTTTCATGGCCCGGTCAAACGTTGACGGAGCTCCACACAATCCAAAAGGGAGGCGAACGAATTCCCACAATCCTTGAGGAGTAACGAAAGCTGTCTTATGCCTATCTTTCGGGTTGACATCAAGCTGCCAATACCCTGAGCGTAGATCTAAAGTACTAAAGTACTTATAACCCTGAAGAGAGTCTAAAAGGTCATCGACTCGTGGTAGAGGGCGTGCATCTCGCTGAGTGACTGCATTAAGGCGTCTATAGTCAATACAAAATCGGTAACTACCGTCTTTCTTCTTGACCATAACAATTGGGGATGCCCATGCACTAGTACTTGGCTTAATAACCCCTTGTTTTAACATATTCGCGATTTGCTGTTGAGCATCTTCCCTGTATGCAAATGGAAGACGTCGGGGGTGCTGGCGAATAGGGGCTGCATTCCCCGTGTCAATAGAATGAGTAACAACAGAAGAATGGCCTAAAGTATCCTCAAATACCTCTGAATACCGGTATAGCACATCCAGAATGGAAGCCTTTTGCTCAGGCAATAGAGAGGAACTTATTGCCGCGGCGAGCTCTTCGTGAGACTTATCACCACTACTAAATGTCGCAGCACTACAACTCGAGGTGCCCAGTTCAACTCCTTGACTAACAAGGGGGCAAAATTCAGCAATCTTTTGCCCTGCTTGAAGCTCAACTTCTTTAGTATGATTATTTAAAAGTCGAACAGGTACAACACGATTGTTAGCAGAGCAAACTACATGAGCAACATGGACTGTGGGAAGGGAGGATGGGTCACAATTCGATGTTATCATACCTACCAAATTTTTGGAACTTCTTGAAATACTGCACTTGATGACAAGTTCTGACATTGGAGGCACAACTATAGCACTAGTTAATTTAACAGGTACTGGGCCTAAAGTAGATGACTGAAAGAAAGTTTCGGAAGACCCTTTACTGTTTTCATAAACAGGGGTTAAGGGTAAATTTCCATGTGGACCAGATAAATAATAAATTCTTCTATCATTAACTAGTTGCAATCGATTTGCTTGAATAAAATCCCAACCCAAAATACATTGCAACGGTGATAACATATTATCGCAAACAACAAATCGATGAAAGTAAGAAACACTACTGTCATGTAAAGTAACACTACCCTCAAAAACTCCTGTTATATGCAGGGCTTGACCTGTCACGGAAATGCACCGATCGGAGGCAGTACTGCTGAAAGTTCCTACATCTCCCCCCTCAAGCTTGTTTAACTTTTGTTCTACAATAGCAGCATAAACAGATTTACTCAAAAAGGACTTTGCAGATCCAGTATCAATTAAAGCTTCGACCTGCAACCCATTTAACAAACACTTAACAAAGGGCTGGGTAAGAGACTGGATAGACTGTTGATTACTACAAACAGTACTGTCTCCAATTATATATAATCCGGGGTGACCATCCCAGCCTTCTATTGGGCCACCCCTTTGGAGTTTAAAGTCGACACAAATCGGTTCGGAATATTTTTTACATTAGCAACACGATTACCTTCCTTAGTATTCGGATTGTCAACAACCCAGTTATTCGCACATTGCGAAGCAATATGTCCCGAGCCATTGCACATCTGGCATTTGAACGAACCATCAATGGGTCCTTGTTCCCTGCTTGTGCGTTTTAGGGGGCAATTTCTTGCTATGTGACCCTCTTTAGAACAAAAGTAACATGTCACACGGCGTACTGGCTGTTGACGTCCAGCAAATTGGGAGGTCGGTTCTTTTTTTTGAACAGTGGCTACGTACAAACTATTGTTCATTTTCAGCTCCTCTACTGCAGCTGTTAGCTTGTCCAGCCGTCCCTCAATAGATGTCGGTGAAGGGACGACATCTGTGGCTGCAAACAAACCAGGGTGAGGTCCATGATTGTCACTTATCGCCAGAAACTGTTTGGAAAAGGAGAGCATATCATCCAACTTCGGGGTCGGGTTATGTTCAAGAAGTTTATAACGAATGGTATTGGGAAGTCCCTTCATAAATTGTCGGGATAACAAGGCAGAAGTGGCAGCTTTTTCCAAAGTCGGATCCGCCTTTTTCAGCAATTCCTGAAGAGACCACAGAAACACACTAGGATCCTCACCACTACGCAAAACACGATCTTCAAATTCTCGAAAATAGCCTTCTCGTCCGACAGCAGGACACAAGGCAGTCTGGAGACTGGTTGCTAAATGTGCAAACGTATCTTTTTCATCATCGGATAATGTATGAAAATACGTAGCCGCCAACCCTCGCAAAAATGCCGGCAGCTTTTGCAACTTTTGGTCGTCTGTCCAGCCATTAGCGGAGGCACAACAATTAAATTGGCGAAGCCAAGTCGGGAAGTCACCAGAATCAAACTTTTCCGGCAAAATGCTACTCGCCATTGCTTTTACCTCTGTCACCAATTTGTTATGACCGGGCAGAACGGACAACAGAAACAGACGTGTCTCTAGTGCATATTCCAATTCTCTAATCTTCGAACAATCACGGTTTTCCAATTTATTGATAAACGTGACATGTCATCACATGACGAGCACAAGCAATACGTCATTAACTAGCATTGCCTAATGACACCATTAGAAAACTCATGATTCTACAGATGTGCCTTCGAACATGACATCACATGCACACATGCACACGTTACATGTGATAAATGTGAGAGCTCAAATGTGAAGTACAAATGTGAGGACTTACAACAAAAGATAGTGTGATAAATGGCATGTCCGGGCCAAATGTGCGTCGATACCATTCAGAATCTGACGAGGCATCTGCAGAGTTAAATGAGTCTGCCATGTTTGAATATATCTTCTCGATTCTAAAAAACAAAATAGCATACAGCGGTTATGTTTATTGGAACACAAGACCAGTCATGAGGCTTTTTTAACAATTTGCTGGTTACAAAAACTGTCTGACTCTCTTATGGTCACGATCAACATGGTAAAACTTAAAAAATATTCTTCAATACCATGGATAATCGAAAAGGTCCTTGATCAAAACCTCTATTTTGTAAGGGTTTTTTAAATATATGATTTTTTTAAACTAGCTTTTGAGACATGCAGTGTAACAATCATATACAGTTGAAGTTGAGTCCCCCTTAGTTGGACGTTCAAGGGGTGTAAGGAAATGTCTGACTGCTGAGCAAATGTCTGACTGATCTTGGGTATGTCTTTTGACTTGAATAAGGTAGGAAAATCTATTGGGAATTGAAAATCAGTCCGACTTAGTGAGAGTCTGAGTTATCCAAGGTATGACTTAACAGGATTTGACTGTGAAAGAAAATGTGGACTGTCTGATCTTCTAGAATTGCTAATTATCAACCTTCAAGAAGCTGATTGACTAGATAGCTATGATAGAAAATCCCAAATGTTTTTTGCATGTCTTAAACCCTACAATCAAGATCACAAGTCCATTATAAAACTAAAAACATAACAGTCTATATTGAAGCTTTAGAATCAATACTGGATATACACCAGGACTGGTCGTAAGACTTTTACCAGGGTCGTAAGACTTTTACCAAAGGAGCAGTAAACAGCTCTCCTAGTAGTTTTTAGGTGAGCTATAAGAATGGAAACAATAAGGAAAAATTTGTTTCAAGAAGAGCCAATTCGCTTTTTAGAATAATTTAGGAGAGCAATGTGTAGCTCCCCTTTGGCATTTGAGGAGAGCATGGAGGGGAGCAAGAGCTATGGCTCTCCTCAAATAGCCCGGCCTGTTATACACCAAGAATTACCTACATGTCAACTGAATTCACAACTCTAAAATACATAGGAAATTCCTGATGATGACTGATGTATTTCACAACTAAATGCACCATCCCCTATATGGAGGGCTTGTTGAATCACAGTGATGTCTTGAAAAAATTATTATCTCCATAGTTCTTTCAGACCACACATTATATTACACAATTTAAAAAATATGCAGCTTTCAACAGCATTTGGGCTGAGTACTTCTGCTTAGGTCATTCATGGTATTCAAAAAAATAAGCCAAACTTTTTAGGGACCTAATAAAATAAGAATGAACTGAATAAAATATCTCTAAGATGGGAGGCATGCACCACAGTGTCAGGTTTAAAGCCTACTTTGTTCCTGACAAGAATGACATTAATGTCCTTTTCCTGACCGAGTTGATCTTATTAGCACTTTAAATTTGAAAAATGCAAAAGGATATTATTACTTTTGGAAAAAAATTAAGAATTTACTAACCTTGATTGAAAGTTGGATACATCAACACACTCTTTGTAATCTTTAACTTTTCCAATCACAAACTCCTTCCTTTTACTTTCCAAAGTTTCAAATTTGTCATATTCATAAACCATATCCTCTCTATATTTTTGGTTATAATTTCCAATATCTCTCAAAGCCTCTTTATAGGTTTCCAAAACATTTTCTCTATCCTGCACAGCTTTTTTTACTTTATTTTCTATCTTCATAACTTGGTCCTGTGTTGAGCTTTCCTTGTTTGCTTTAATTTCTTCCTGTTGTGCCTTCAAGGTGTCCAGAGTTTGGCAAGCTAAATGGTAGCTGTTTTTCCCTTTTATTACTGAAAATGTTTAAAAAATAGAAATAACAACAAAATTCCTTTAGATTGAACTGAATACCCGAGAAAAAAAAATTGGTACCTCAATATTTTAGATATAGCATGAACAAACTAAATGATCTAGCATTGCCTTTCAAAAATGTTCCTTGTCAAAATTTTTGCAATTAAGAAAATTTCAAAAAAGAATCAATTTTCAAAACAGGATGCAGATGCAAGTCTCTGCTCTTATCCATCAAAGAACTTGTATTTAAAGCTTCAATTTCAAGCTGCAGCTAAATTTTTAAGTCAATTTCGTTGGAGTCCCAATAGGCCAATGAGCCAACAAATAGGATGATATTAGAAAAATAAACCTTTGCTCTGAATTTTTTGTAAATAAATAAATGTCAATTTAATTCTAAGCAGCTCACCATCTTCATACTTCTTAGCCCAAGGTTTTTGAGCTTTGATAAACCCTTCATCCACTTTCTTAGTTTCCTTGAGACCAATGATTCCTTTGTGATAGCTTTCAGCTTTCCATACTTGAATTTGTTGAGAAACTTCAAATACTTTCCCTTGAATAGCCAAATGAATATCTGCCATTTCCTCACTTTCTTGCAAACCATTCACAACAGACTGCAAAACAGATCCATACTCAAGCCCCTTTGAAAATGAATGCAACCATTTCTTCTTCCAAGCTAGTATTGGGAATAAATTACTCAAATCAATTTTATAAAGAAAACTCAAAAGAGCGTTGGTACTTAAGAAAACTTGAGTCTAATACATCTCAGATGGTTTCATGAGGCTAAGTTTTATCAAAGAACAATTATATTACCTTTGGCACTCTTTAAACTGCATTACTTTGAGTTTAAACTGCATTACTTTGCTGAATTAATAGTGCTTTATCGCTTGCAGTTAGGTAAACATGCCAAGAAGTTGTTTTGAGAAGGTATGCTTGACACTATTAGCCTGCACCCCAGTGTTTTTTTAGGCATCGAAGGTGGAAAGCTAAAAAAACCAATGTCTGAATAAAAGTATAAAATCCAAAATGAAAAAATGAGAAAAAAGGAAATAAGGAGTAGTCACTACCACCTGGTTACAGCCTCAAACTCAGATGGGGAGGAGGGGGGTACCCCTTGTATCGCTACAACCATGTGTGCCCCTTGTATGCTTTGAGCGGTTAGATTGAAAGTGGGCAGAAAACGGTAAAAAAGCAACTCATCAGCCAGAAACCCACGAAGGACATTTCAGGGCTTAATTCAGTACGTCCGTTTCCTGTGGGCACCCCTCGCAATCTTGCATCAAGGATCACGGTTGGGTCATTCCATGCCAAAGTGGGACAAAAAAATTAGATTTGTAATGCACCCTCTCAGATTTTTCTGATACTCCTGTCAAATGCTAAGTATCTTGAGAGGAAAATAACCTGAAAATTTCAAGTTGATATCTTAACTCATTCAGATATTATAGTTATTTTAATTTTTGCTGATTCAGCATAATATTATCCACATATCCGCCATTTTAAATGTGCGGGGAAAGTAAACTTTGAGAAATTTTGATAAAGCAGATGGAAATCACCAATGAAAATATCACTTTTGGATAAATTAGGGGCAAGGAATTCAAAAATTGCATTAAAAATTCACTAAATCCATTAGAAAACAGAGTAAATTATACTAGAATATAATTTCTTATACTCACAAATCGCTTTTACCATCCATCAAACTATGAAAAAATTCACCATGTTGGAAGAATGTGACAAATTTCAAATTGTGCATCCAAGAAGTACAAAGGACAGACTTTAAATTTACAAAGAACCAGCAAAAGGTTTTTCTTGGTTTCTGAGATATGCACTTTGCAAATCTGTGAGAAATTCATGAAAATTTGGTATTTTTCTCAGTTGTTTAAAGCCATCTATATAGCAAATACACTGCATGTTGTTGGAATTGGTGTTTTACTAATAGGTGTGGCTCTTTCTCTGCAGTATCTCTCTTGATAGATGGTTCAAGAGTACTTCTTGAAGGGATGTTTTTAGGCAAAGAGTCCATTGAAATGTTGAAACTGTATATTCAAAACATTTTTTCCGCTGTACTTTATGCTACTAAAGGTTAGATAAATTGATATTCAAGCAAATTGTCATTTCTCGTTATTTAGTTATAAAATTGTTTATGTATGTAGCTATATACTCACAAGCAGTTCTACATCCTTTGAAGACATCTGTCAATCCTATCTCTATCTTTGCCATCAAGAATATACTGCCTACCGGTATGAGTTGAAAGTGTTGGTGGCTCGATTTTGAACAATATCTTTGTTTTCGGTACCCAGCATGTATCATCTCTTTTTGGCCACTTCAAAGAAGTGGATGGGAGGCTGGGATGCATGAATTTTACATTGACATCATGCATATCATTGTCTACCTCTATCAACATTCCTGCCCAGTAGAGTTCGTCGTAATTGCAAACCACAAACTGGCCAACTCTATCCTCGACACCTTCCAGTTGCTCCTCTCCAAAACTGAATCGAAGAGCAAAATCCACTTCCTCAGAAACTCTTTTGGCGCCAATAATAGATGAGCTTATTGGTATAAATTGTTGGAAGCTTCTTGTGCCAGGAACTGTCTTTGCTTGACTGAGACGCTCTCTTATATTCTCTCGTGTGGATTGAATTTCTTCTATTGGAATATATTTAAATTCAATTCCACTTATTTTTTCGTGGCAATAGAGGAACATTGCCTCTGCTGATAAATTTGGTCATTTGAAGGCCTTTGCAAGCTTGCCATGGCAACAAGCTTCTTCACTGTGCCACTGATTCCGTCACATGGTGACTTACCATGGCTGGTGGCAAAGAAATTCCACTCACATTCAATGGAAAAGTCTTCTTGATGATGGCACAGGTTAATGAAGTTCTTGCAGTTCTTGTACTGGCCTGCGCAACCGTCTGAAAAATAGCTGATCTTCTTTACCTGGCTTGAGAGCTGCTTTATATGAGCAACAGTTTCAAAAATAACTTTGTACACAAAATTTACATCATGGTCCAAATCGTTTGATATGAAACAGAGGGATTGGACAGAAAATTGAGCAGCATCTTCAAATTTGTGGTAAAGAACTATTGGATGTAGAGTACATTGCTGTTGATTCCAATGGTACCCTTGAACCTCATCCTGTATTACAAACTTGTAATTCTCTGAAAAATCCCCCAAAACAATCACTTCTTCAGCACACGACTCTTTTTTGGCATTTAAATATGCTGCTTGTGAACGTGCTATATGAGTGAGCTGTTACTTTATCCAACTTTTCACAAAGAATTGAAATAAATTCACTTGCAGAAACAGTTTGGGAAGTCAGCATAGAGCGATCTGTTGTTGTCCATTGATTGAATTCAATACTTATTTCATCCAAGTCATTGTCTTCATCATCTGTAGACGTTTCAGATTCATCACAGTAGTTAACTGCGCCAATTTCATCTGACAACGGCATCCTTCCTGGGTCAACTCTTTGGAGTTCCCTTTTTAGATATGCTTCAACTGATTCTATGCCTGGACAGGAGGCACACCTATGAATCATGCATACCTTTGATTCTCGGTTACAAACAATCATGTCTGTAAGTTCATGACAACTTTTGTCTATACTGATAGCATCTAACATCAGTTTTAAATTTTGATGGATTGTGCAGACACACACTGAATGAGTACCTTTGGGGCCAACTGAAATGCACCATTTGGGACGTAGGCTGGCAAACTTTGAAAACCCGATCTTTAAGTTAGGATTTTTAGTTTTAAATAATTCATATAGTTCTTTCAAACTGCACAATATCAAACGCTTTGCCACATATTGCTTCTTTCCGATGCTTAAGCAATCTTTCTTGCCAGGTAGCTGACAAGTATAATCATCATTGCAATAAAATTCTTTAACTGCCGTAACGATGTCGTCGTTCAACTTCTTTGCTTTACAGGCTGAAGGAAGTTCTATAATTCCCTTTTCATCTCTGAGGCGGATAGCTTTTTGGATAGTACTTTTTGAAACTTTGAATTCTGTTGCTGCTTTTCTGAGTCCCCAAGACTTTGGAGTCAGTGTCAAAATTTGAATCTTTTGTCTTCTAGTTGACACATTCAGCTTTTCTTTCATGAGAGAAACCAGGTAATCCAGGTCCCTTGATTTTTGCATGCAACTGCAAGCATCAAGAACTAAAAAGCCGGTTCCATTCATTTGCAGCCAATAATTGCATGGATTGTTTGCTATTCGTGTGTCAAGTGCTTTTTCGAGTAGTTTCCGCATATGCTGTCTCGCCCCTCTCCATTAAGTGTTAAGGCTTATTGATGTGCAGTAAAAATTAAGGAACTTTTAAGGAACTTTTGGTAATAAAATCTGATGATTTGAAGTATACGAATAAGGAACTTTTGGAACTAGGCCTTGAGGTAGGTTCCTTATAAAAAAAGCGTGTACTTCAAAACTTAAAACAAATCTGCACAATAACATGTCATGATGTTAGCTTTTGGCAGATAATAATTTTGAAATAAATTACATCCCTAGAAAATTTTACCTTGAAATATGCATTTTAGGAATTGCTGAATTTTTGCATGGGTTTTCGGATTTTTTCAAAATTTTGAACGTTTTTGTAGGTCTTCGCACTCCCTAAGCATGTATAAAAGTAAATTTGAACCATTGAAAATGGGTTGTATTGATGGGAAAGATATATTCAATTATAAACACCATATATTATAATAGTTAAATTCTATTTGTAAAACACCAATTCCAATAACATACAGTGTATTTGCTATATAGATGGCTTTAAACAACTGAGAAAAATAC